AAATTGTTGTGAAATTGATCTAAAAATTATAATTGTACAAAATCAAATCTATGCATTGGAATTTTTTCATCGTCCCAAATTGCCCGAACAATAGTATTTTGAAAATTAAATCATTATTTTGTTGTCACTGACAATGCATGTGATATTGCTTCTTATTTGTAACGATTGAAAAGTATCTAATGGAGTAAACTTTTCTTTCAATTAATTTTGGATGAAATTGTACAAAGTTGGCTTTAACTGAGGCATGAACGTAATCACCCTGTAATTAAAAATAAAAATTAAGTTAATTTGATGACTTGATTAAGCTATCTAATTAAATCACAAAAAATTTGTTTTAATCATAAAATTAATTAATAAAAACAAAAAAAGGTTTATAAAAAAACTTAATAATTGTAAACGATTAATAAAGATATAATACCTCTTCCTTCTTTGATTTTCCAATCATTTTTGCTCGAATTTAGTTCTCTGATTAAATTAGATCTACATGTAAAAACAAATTCAGTAAATTCCAAATAAACACAATGTAAGCAATAATCACAAATATACATTTAAACATGGATTTTCAAAATTAAACTAAGAATTACGCAACCATTGATGACCTTAAACTGACAAAAAAATTCGCTTGATTTGGTTTTGTATTGATACGAAATTTTATTGGTGTTATAGGATGCGTCAATTTATAGTGGTAGGTATCACAAATTTTAATTTAATTATAATAAAAGAATAATTTTTATTTCTTATTATAAACACTATCAAGATTAAATCCTGTATCTAAAGATGATTTTTTTCTTAAAGATAATTTTTAGTTTTTTAATTAGATTAAATCATGATAAATTACTATTCGTTGTTTTTATTTACGTGGCAAAATTCTTAAATCTGATTCGTCACTTTTGTTTAGGTGGCAAGTGAATTTTTAAATTCTAAAATAAATAGAAATCTAATTTTTAATTGTTCGAAAATATACCTTCGCTTATGTGGCGCGCCAAATGCTCCCAAAAAATACCTACTTTATTTATATATATTAGATTATTCACTCCTTGTTATTTTCCTTTATTCTTAATTAAGTTTTATCTTTTTAATCTTTGAAATGAATTTTGTAAAATCATTTCTAGAGATGAAAATAAAGTGTATCCTATTTGATATTGGAATGCTTATTACAAAATAAATAAGGTGATAAATAATAAAGTAAGAGAAGAAATTACTACTTTTGTTCATCTCCAATTTGAAACCTGAATTTATTCCTTCATTATACTAAATTTTTAATAATTAATAACAATATAACCCTCTAGTCAAATTAATGTTTATTTTTTCCATGCTTTGGAAAAGAAAAGGCAAGACTATTTTTTTCTGAAAATTAGTTTTAGTATTTATAGTTTTATGGTTTATATACTTTATTTGCTAAATTGATAACTTTTTCAAATTGATAAGTGAAAGATTATGATGGACATTTTTGTTCTTTTGATTTGGTATGCTTTCTTTGTGATACTTTTGTTTTGAAATAAATTGTGTGTAGTGATGAATTTGAAAATTAATTACATTTACAATAAATATTTATAATTTTTTTGTGGGTCTAAACATCAAGTCATATAAATTTGGCTTGATTATACATTTTTTTTAATCCTTATTTTTAATTTTAATATTTAGGGAAACTCCCCTTCTTTCTTTTTTCTTGAAACAAATTTTTATTATTATTATTATTATTATTATTATTATTGGGTAATGCTTGATACATCAAACTTGAAAAATACTAGAGGGAAATTAAACGAAGATGGTTCACATAAGATCTTAATTTTTCTATGGTTTGATACTTTTGTGGAGGAGTTGGTCATATTGAATTGAAAATATCAATGAATTTATAAATTAACCCTCCTTCCCCCCTCTTAAATTATATATATATATATATATATATATATATATATATATATATATATATATATATATATATATATATATATATATATTATTAATGAAAATGATTATACTCCATAACATATGTATGTAGTTTAGTAGGCAAAGTCTTGGGACAATTTTATTATTTTCAATTTATCACTATATGATAATGGAACTAATTAGTTGATGATATAGTTTTTGTCCTAATTATTTAGGGCATAGTTCTGTTTTTTTTATCCTAATTTGTCTTAATTGAAATTGTTTTTTTCTCAATTGAAATAATTTATTATTATTATTATTATTATTATTATTATTATTATTATTATTATTATTATTATTATTATTATTACATCTCAAAAACAGAGAAAGTCATACAATCTATAAAAAGTTAGTGGGTAGCCGAGATACAATTTGTGCCCCCACTCCTCTAACTTTAGCAAATCCAATCCTAGTAAATATATGAGCAGCACCATGTGCCCTAATGTCTTGCGTCGTCGAGAATTTTTAAACCCGCTTCAGCAATGCAACAACCTCTTTCTCTAATTCCCCAATTGAAGAAAAGGAGAAGGGAATGAAATCGTATTCAATTTCATGACATCGAGCTTCATACTTAACCCGCTTCCGATGTGCCACATCAGCCATAACTCGACCAGGAATGAAGTCAGATAGCCAGAAGACCCTGTCAAATCAACACAAACATCGCGACCACAATCCTAAGAATAAAGTAACACATCCGTAGGTCTGAGGGCCTCGTCGTTCCCTCCAGACAACCCAATGTCAACCTCTTTTCTCGCTGAAATCCCATAACGATAGCAAACATCAACAAGGGTATCCCAAACAACATTATGCCGATTTTAATACCCACTATACCAGCACACGACACCCCGTGATCATCGAAAATATCTCCAACAAATACCCTCGAACAAGCAGAGCACGACGTCGAGACAGAGAATAATGGAACACCCAACCGATAGGACAACACACATTGATAAGTCTTTGCGTTCATCATCTGACCCAAACCCGAAATAGGGACGGCCCGAAGCCAAGCAGACGTGTGATCTCCCTATTGAGATTTCCACAATGCTGATAGTCGAGGAGATAATGAAAAGGAGGGTTCTGTAGAAGCGGTAACCTTCGTGAATATATCTGCCAATATCTTCAGGAGTTTTGGGGCAGCGACCTTACTAGGATTACTAAAAAAATCAGACTCCACCGTGCCATTAAACAGACCCAATGCATCTTCAAATGCTTGTCCAAGACCAACAATATCAGCATGCCATAGAAGCTTCGTCTGCAAACCAGCAAATTGTAACCGAGAAGCAAGAAAAGCATAATGTCGAACATCACCTGCGAAATAAACACCAATCCCTCCAAACGCAAATGGTAAGGTGGCAAGCCGCCACTACCAATCGCCAAATCTAGGCCCTGAAGCAGTAACAATACGCTCCAAGGAAGAACGAAGAGCCTCGTGAAATGTGCGCTGAGCCGCCTCAAAAGTACTTTGGGGACAAGTACACAATGCAAAGTAGAGTTTAGAAACTCCGGTACATGCCCTAAGTAACAACAGCTCACACTATGTATCATCCAGCATAGCAACCTTATCCATAAGCGCAATGGTCTTTTTCACCCTATGCATCACAAGCTCACTACTAAAACTGGAATCAGATTTAGCGGGACCACCAAGCAACTTAACACCACGCAAAAGTCAAACAATGTTAGGTGGAAAGACACCCACAAGCCTGCTTCGAGGGTCTTCTGTAGGCCAGAAGACTTCAGTTTTTTCCACGTTAAGATGTAACCCAAACCGAGGCCCTTCCTCCATAATTAACTGTAGAACCTTCCCCACCACCAACGTGTCACCAATAATAGTGTCGTCATTCAAATACCAAGCCTGAAGACATACATCAAAAGTGTCTCTGATTTTACACACTAAGGGTTGTAAAACCAAAGCAAAAAGCAGAGGACCAAGGGGATCACCCTGTTGCACCCCCTGAGACGACCATAAGGTATGGTCCCCATAATACAATCTGGCTGGATTAAAATAGCAGAATTCAACCCACCGCGAAATACCTGGACAACGACGACGGACTTCACGTAACATGACCTCACGATCAACTAGATTGAAGGCATTATTATTATTATTATTATTATTATTATTATTATTATTATTATTATTATTATTATTATTAGTATTATTATTATTATTATTATTATTATTATTATTATTATTATTATTATTATTATTTTGAAATTGTGATATATTATTGAGAATTAGAGCTACACACTAAATCTAGAAAAAAAAATTGTTTTAAGCTTTTACTTTAATTATTTATATATGAAAGCTATCTTTATCCAAAAGAATCTAAATCACATAAGATTTACCCATTCATTTTTACTGTAATAATATACGAGTACCTCCACTACTATGTATTTTTAAGTGTTACGCTTTGACTCTTTTCTTTATTAACGGTTTGACTTGATCATTTTATACTACTATATAATAAATAAATTTTATTATTTAATACTCCGTATATTGTTGGATTTGTCATAATGTATACCTTTATATTTATCAATTTTCTTATAATTTTACTAACATATATGATTAAATAAATTTATAATCAAAGTCATGTCTCAGTTTGTATATTAAATAAATTAATTTTACTAACATATATGATTTTATTAACATTTAAAAAAACACGTATATTTTTGTTTCAAATTTCCAATAATTTGCTTTTGTCGATTTGTAAGTCATAATTGAATGTATATATTTTTCAATAATTGTGCAAGGAAAGTGTTTATTGTCGATTTTTATATAAGACCTGATTTTCTGTCTATTTCTAAGTAAGAAATATAATTGTGCTTTGTCGATTCTTGTTTAATTTATAAATGCAATATTTTGATGATTTTATGTAAGAAATGCAATTGCTTTGCCGGTTTGTGAGTGTTCAATATCAACTATTTTATAATGCAATATATGCATTCACAAACATGCAATTACAAAATAGTTGATTTGCTATGGACACACAGTTACTTGTTCATTTTTTTTTTTTTTTTTTTTTTTTTTTTTTTTTGTAGTTACAAGTGCTGAATCCCCAAGTGTAGCACTCAAAATGATGCAAGAACGAGCAAATGACTTCGACCTAGTCATTGCTGCAATGGACATGCTAGAAATGGACGGCTTTACATTCCTTAAAATTGCGAAAATGGTTTCAGACCACCCTGTTGTCTGTGAGTTTCAATAGACTTTCTACTTATGTTTTAGTTCAATCAATTGATTACTTAATTAGAAATGTGTAATGCAATGAACTTCGTTTTAATATTTCATTGTTTGTAGTGACCACCTATAAGAAGCTTGATCCATTGGCTTTTGAAGCTATTGAACGAGGAGCTTGCGAGCTTTGCACTAAACCTATAAAGCGGGAGGATGCTGAATATTTCTGGCAATATGTGTTCAGAAAAGATAGAAATAAGACTCAAACTGATATCAGGAAAACAGGAAAAGAGTTACCTCAGAATGAGCAACTAACAGGCATCTCTGCAGGAAAAGGCAAAGAGATCGCGACTGAGTCTCCTTCGAGTAATTTAGCAGTTGCAGTTGGAGCTAGCAGGCATACAGAGAACAACCAGAAGAGAAAAAGGGTGCAGTATGGTAATGAGAAAACATTGAACAAGGATACAGAAACCTCGACAGGTAGAATACAGTACAAGAAAATCATCAGGTGGAATACTGGGATTAATACTAGGTTTATGGAAGCACTTATGAAGGGAAATGAAGAAGGTAACACACCTAAATACGTGTTATCTATTAAAGTTTCCTCATATAGCCTTACATTCACATAATACAGACAATATCCTAACTCTTAATTTTTTTTAAAAGCGATTGTTCCAGCACAACCAGGGCCAGGAATTGCATATTTAGCTGCTTTAGCTCAGGTAACAAGCCATCTTCTTTTGTTTTATTTTTCACTCATTAATTCTATCTACGTTTTTTCTTTATAACTGAGTTCTGCAGTTGAGCTTCTGCAAGTAATTCATGAACTCAAATCTTGTAAGGAAAAACGACGTATTAGTCTTTGAATTTGGATACTGTTGTATCTGCAATCAATCATATATGCTCCTTAATTATAGGCAACTGAAATAATGTTTCACATACTAAAATTTCCAGTAGCCATTCCCTTGAATCGGCCAATATTCTAACACATGTTGAAGTTCAAACTGCATTCTCCTCCCCCCCCCCCCCCCCCTCCATTTTTTTTTACATGTAATCATCAATGCTCTATGTTTCTCTTGTTTTTAAGCACTTGTATAGTAATAAAGCTTTTGTTATTACCTCCCTCAGAAAAACAAAGAGCGTGGTGATCATCCTACCAATGTAGCAACTCCAACAAGTGCTTCTGATACAATACAAGTTCAGGGTCTTTCGAATTCTACCAATATAGCAACTCCAACAAGTGCTACTGATACAATACAAGCACTCCCAGATGCAAGTTATGCTATAACCAATGCTCAAAGATCAGGAAATACTCCAAGGCAACAACCACAAAATGTAATCAGCAATGCCACTGCTATAAGACAGGGCTATCGCTTTCTTCAAAATCATGGTTTAAGTCTACCAAGTCCTAGAGTTTTAAGTGGCTCTGGAATTGGACAACAACTCTATGGCGCCGCTAGACTTAACCTTGGGAATACGAATAATGTCAGCCAGTTTGGAATGCTAAATAGAACAAGCTCTATGAACAAAACTTCACATTTATTCAACACCAGTAATCAATTGGCAGTTAATGAGACCACTGGCAATCAATCGCTTCTTAGAGGAAGGATTGATCAAATTCGACATGCATACTTGAATAATCCTGGCACTGGTATGTTAACATATTTAAGCATAATATACGTGGTTTAAAACTATTTTAAATTGTAAGAGTACATAATTGGTAAAAGTTTGAATCTGAAACAGAGAATGCAAGTTCCATACCAAACTTACAGACTGAAACAGCTGTGTTTTCACCATCAAGCTGCAACAGAACTGGCTCTCAGTCTGAAAACATTAGCAATGGAGAGGTCAGATGTACAGGCGAGTTGGTGAGCAGACAGACTAATGTTCAGGGGAATAATTCTTTTCCGAATTATGGATATAATGGATCAAGCATCATTAATCCAGGGTCTTCTCCTTTACTAAGTTCATGCGCACCATACCTTAATCAGTTTTCAAATGCATCATCAGAGAATTATGTTGAATCTTTTATGCAGAATCCTAGCAACTTACACAGCTTACAGGTCGAAACAACAGGATTACTTCAGACTCCAGATGTTCCCAATTTTAACAGTAATAACAACAGCCTTTTGCCTTCTTATGGTTTAGATAATCAGGCTATACAACCTACAAATGATTTAGTTGGGAATATCCTTCAAGATGCTGGAGCTACAGGTTCTACTGAAGAGATCCCGAATACTGCAGACCCAAGCCGCACTTATCAGCTTACTGATGAAGACGATATCTTTGAAGCATTTTTAGCCGAGGTTAAACATACATCTTATCAGAACTTCTCATTGCTTATATAAGAAAAAATCTACAAAAGCTGTAAGCCTGTAACATATTATTTTGGGTGGTTTATTCGTTTGTATAACTTACCAGTTGCTATTGTTGGGTGTTTACAGATAAACAATGATCCAGGCAGTGATTTTTCGAGCTTGGGCTTCAACACTGGCAATGATGCATGAAGGGGAAGATACTTCATCAGGATGGAACTGATATGAACCTTGATGATACATGCTTACAAAAATAGTTGGCCTTTTTCTTGATTTGTTTTGGCTGTCAAACTTTAGTTTGCGCATTCAGACATGTGCGCCACAATATTGACTTGTTATTGAGACAATTAGACTAGTTTATTTGCTGAATTTGGTGCTTATGAATCCTGTGCTTGTTCTCAAGCTCAACGATGCATATACTTCATTATATTGTGCTGCAAATTGTTCTACAAAATAATCATCTGTCTTCAGACCAATCCAATAAAAACTAGTCACCTAAAAATAAATTTACAGTATATCTTACAAAGTTATCTTCTGCTTTCACATATAAGATGTTGAACAGTATTTATAACCAATCTTATGGCCTATCAATGAAGACGATGGGAAAAGAAATAAGAGAAAATGTAAATGAGGCAAAATCAAACTATCATAGGAAGACATAAACCTGCTAGTAATTGAGACTGTGTTGTCATTCATATTACAAAGAGAGAACACAATTCATGAATCAATTAAGTATATTTGTAATAGGACCTGTAAACCAATGCCTTGCTCGTAAAATCCATGAAGAAACTGTGAGGATCAACAAACCACCAACAGCCACAGGTGTATAATTAAGGTTCTCTGTGTCAATGGGATAGGCAACAGGCAAGGAGAACAAAACAGAAATGGTGATTACCCAGAGTACAGCAATCCATCCAACAAGTATACCATATCGTCCTAGATTGAAAGGTCCAGGGATGAAAGAATTGCGAGCCAAGGTGACTCTGAAGAAGATAGGCAAGGCATAAGCTATATACAGCCCAATAGTTGCTATTGATACCATCGCTTCAAATGCCACCAGGCTTCCAAGAGACTGCCAGAGGAGAAGACAAAACGAAAAGAAAAAGAACAAACAATTAATAGATTAATGAATGGTGGTTGTACTGCAATAGTTGAAAGTCAAATGGTTTTTTTTGGCTATTAATGTTATAGTCTAATGCCAGAAGCTGATAAACAACAATGAGCATGCTATAGAGAGAGTTGAATCCTTAACATAAACACAATATACTTATCAACTTTACATTAATGTAAAAACCAGTAATCCTACAACTGATAAATTTGGAAAAGGACTAGGATGCAGCATGAGCACTTTATAAATCATCCAACTAGTTATCATGTTTATACTCCTGTGAAAGCATATTTAATTACAAGTTTTAGAACTTAAATTGTAGCTAAAAAAATGGAAAATTCAACTGAATCTCCTATGATGGTGTCAGATCAGAACTTTAAAACTTAAAGGGAAGAGATCTATAATGATGCAATACTGCAAAAGGTGTAAGTGCTGACATGGATAATTTCACTGTGGATATGAACAGAAAATTGAAAGCAGTGGCTTCAATAGGTTGAAGTGCAATAGGAATCTTAGAGGCAATGTGCAAAAATAGATTGAAATGAGGAAGAGGAGAGCTGTGCCAGGTTGCTTTATTTGAAGACGAAGACTTGAATGAGGCGGAATAGGGTTCATATAATTGGTGATGGATCTAGGTAAGCCCTAGTAAAGCCATTTATCAACATGCTTTTGTGGCATCACATTTTCTAGGAATGATTATCTAATAGCTCATAGATACATCAGTACAGTGATCGGATGGAGCAGGGTAGAAAGAGAGGGGGGGGGGGTTGCACTTAAAATCACTTTAAGGCATATAACAGAATCAGTTGAAAATTCATGGAGACCGAACTATTTTCTTTTGGAATCCATTTAATTGTGGCTATTGAGTTTCCCTTTCGAGTTTCGACAAAAATGTGGGTTGCAACAGGGTCCCCAGATTCTCCTCTCTCTGTATCCCAGGTAAAAGTGAAGGTGTAGGAATTTTGTTTTTTGCTATGTATATTTGAACTTGCCTGTTTGGTTAACGTGGTTTTGTTCAACCATTCCACTTTATGTAACTCTTCACCACCCCAGCCCTTCACTACGTTGGGTATTACCCTTACCCTCTCATCATAAAGCTGTAATCAAACTCTGAATACGATTGAAGAATATTGAGTGGCAGTAAAAAACATTGATATAACATGTGAGCCATCGCAAACACGACAACATTAGCCTAAATTATTCTTCCTGACAGTAATAAATTTATAAGATTCCAATCACCAGACCACCAGTTATATCAAACTCTGAATCTGTTTGAAGAATTTTGAGAGGCAGTAAAAAAGCATTGATATAACATGTGATTCATCGCAACCAAGACAGCATTAACCTAAATTATTCTTCCTGCCGGTAATAAATATGTATTATTCCAATTACTAGTCTGTCAGTCTGTTTAGTTTCATCTTCTACTTGAAACTAATATGATTTTTACTTGTTTCTTAACAATCACACAGGCAGTTTCACAAGACTTTATTGCTGATTTGTCCAAAGTAATGATTTTAAATGGAAGGAGATTATGATAAGCAAGTGAAACATGGTTGCATAGGGCCAAGTCCAACAGTACCATAGAGATAATGGCTGCAGGTTACATATGTGCTGAAACCAGACAATGAAAAGTTGAAGTGGTAACAATAACTTAAGTTTACTACTGCAAATGCTATAATGGCATACCTAAGAGATAGGATATATAGGTGCTTATTCTGTAATGGGAGATGCTTTTTTCGATGTCAGAATTATCTTGATAAAAACTAATCTTAGGATGAGGCTATCAGATTACGAAAAAATTCAAGATGGATGCTGTTTGTTTGGAAAGTTGTTTATAAAGGGATTCCTACTTTTGAAGATTTGAAAGGCTGAAATTCTGTCCTTATAGGTTCAGATGCAATCATCAATTTTGATACTGTCCATTAGCAAGTGTGCAGAGTGACATGCCTAGCAAGCTCTTGGCTGAGGAATGAGTGACTGGCTTATTTATTTCCAGAAGGGAAGGATAGAGCAAGGAAGTTCATCAATATCCTTTAGAGTGTATGAATTCATTGAGATCATGTTCTTACTAAAGGAAAAAACCTTCTGGTGAATCTTTTAGACTTTTAAAATAAGCTTTTAAAATATGCACTGAATTATTTGTTAATTTCATTTATCACAGCCTCTTTTTGGACTAAAGTGATATTGCAAGTGTACGATCATTGTACCATTCAAGACACTTCCTCCCTTAATGCATAGTACACAAACAAAGTAACATTATTATTGTTAAGATATTGTCACAATTCACAAACTAATTTTATATTATTAAGATATTATTGCGAGTCCATAACATGTCAATGCATAAGTAGGAGCATGTAATACGCATATTTTCTAGTCAGAGAAATTATTTCAGCTTGATATTATTAATGTGCACTCTAACTAAAAGATTCGTGGACATTTTTCAGTGCATACCGTCAATGCCATGCAGAAGGAGATGAAAGTAGACATCCACACCGCATTAATAGGAACTTCTTGTCGGTTCACTTTATGCCATACTGATGAAAAAGGCATGGCACCATCCCTTGAGAATGCATAAGCCATTCTGGGTAGAAATATTAGATTTTTTGAGATTTCGTCTCTCCAGGTTAATAAAAATAGAAGAAAGAATTTTCTTGATCAAGAAAAGTGTATACCTAGAATTGCTGGTAACTGAACTCATGCCACAGAAAAATATGGCCACAGCAACTATGCACAGGCAAATTATTCCTCCAATTCCAGTTCCATATCTGCTCTTGAATGCTTGGTAGAATACTTGAGCTATGGCATAACCACCAGCATCATTTTCGCTACTTAAAAGGTAAGGAATATCAGTGACTGCAAAGGTGATCCCGATGATGTAAGCCCAACCAAAGATTATTGATATACCAATGGCACTAATAATTCCTTTAGGTCCATTTGTATCTGCATCCTTAGTTTCCTCTGTCTGCCATTCAAGTTGAATTAAGTTAATGTATGCAGAGATGGTGTCTATTTTCCATTTGCCATAAGGAGAAAAATGTTGAAAAGACAATATGTATAATACATGTTTATGCAATTAGTGTCCATATTGGCTTTCGTATAAAGTTGAAAGAAAGGCTATAGCGCAAATTGTTTTGTAACTCAAAGTACTGTCATATATACTGTAAGAATTCAAAGTTATTGTACTTTCTTCTTGTTGAAACAAGCAAAACAAATAGAATTATCTTATTTTGGATCATTAAACGGCAGTGAATGTGGTAATTGGAACAAAAGATAAAACCAGGTTATATGCTCATAAGATTATGATGCTTGACATACTCCTTACCATATGTGCAGATGCATCATAACCTGTCAGCGTATATTGACTCATCAGGAGTCCAATAAGGAAGATATAAGGCCTACTGCTGATACCATTTCCATTATCAGTGTTGAAATGCGTAAAAACAAACTCAGCACTGGCTTTTTCCTTGGCAGCCAGGGGAATGGCAATCATAAGGACAACAACACCTAGAAGAACAACAATATTGATCATGTAGAAATTTGATGCTCCAATATAGGGGTTTCTACATTCTAAAACATTTCATAATAATCATTGACAATAGAGGAGATTATTATACCTCCAACATTCCAGGCTGCTGCAATCTGCCCCAAGAATGATAACAATGAAATAGGAAGGCTGTTCAAGATAGCGTGCAAAAGTAAAATTCCGCCATGGAAACCAATTACAACATATTTCGATGCCTCATAACCACCGCCATTTTTCCCACCAGTGCTAAGTAGAATAATAACTTGAATCAGCTGTGCCAGAGAGAAATCCACACTAGCTGTGACAGCCCACTGCCAATGAAAGATGATATAACCAAAGGTAAAGCCTTACTGCATGAAACGTTGAATATCTAATAGCAAATGGAGTGTTCTAGCTTAGCCATCTGAGATTCAGAGCATCATTCTTAGAATTACCTGACCAACAATGTTGAACCTGCAAGATATAAAGGTGACATTCATTCTTTATCTTGGAGTAATGAATATGAAATATACTCATGGAGTAATAAATTTGAAAATATAATACATTCAATTTAAACATTGA